CCGGCCTACTCGCCCACGAGCCCGGCCTACTCTCCCACGAGCCCGGCCTATTCCCCCACGAGTCCGGCCTACTCCCCGACCTCCAGTTCATACTCCTCCTCTTCTTCCTCCTCGTACTGAGAGGGGCGTCCCCTGTACAGTACCCTTTCCCTTTCTCATATTACGCGCACGCGCTCGCCCTCTCTCCCGCTCCCCTTTTCTCGTCTCCTCCCGCTCCTCCTGCCCGTCAATCTCCCCTCTTGTGGCGAGGCGCGGAGGGGCCCAGGGCAGGCATGAAGAGGGGGGGGAACCACGCCCGCGGGGAGGAAGCAGCAGCCGGGGCCGCCCTCCAAAAATCAAAACCCCGTGTGCGCGCCTACCGCGCCGGGGCAGAAAAGACATCCCCCCCTCCCCCCCTTCCACTCTGCTGATCGCGCCCTTGCGTCATCGCGCCGGCCCCTCCCCTCTGTCCTTCCCCTATCACCCTTTCCACCTTTCAACATCCCCCTCTCTCTGTCCGGCGCCAGGCGCGGCGGCTCTCTCCCTCGGCCACGGCATACTAGAATACACCCCCCCTCCCCGTCACCCTCTTGCTCGCCCGACGGAAGACAGGCATCACATGGCGTGGCCGCCCCCCCCCCCCCCCCCACGTGTAATGCTTTTCGCGATCGGGGCAGGCCCATATAGTGTTCTATCTCTATTTCATTTTCATCAATGGATGGCCCCAGGGGGAGGCCGGGGCGGCTGGGGCACACTTAGGCAGGCGTCTCCGGCGTGGCAGGGGCCCCTGCCGACATGGTGGCAGATTCAGGCACGGCCTCGGGAGCAGTGACGTCCGACGAGGCGTTCTCAGCCTCATAGTCATCCAGAATGCTGAGCATGTGTGCCTGGCGCTGGGCCTTCTCCCGGGCCACCGGGTGTGCGAACTGCGAGGTGAGCGGATCGAACACGCCAAAGCGCCGGAGGGCCGAGATCAGGCCAAACTCCGAGACCAGGTCATACTCGATGGTGGAAATGGTGACTGCGAAGCGCCGCGAGGAGTGGGTCTGTTATGGCGGGGGTGGTGAGTAGAAGGGGAGATAGATAGAGAGAGAGAGAGAGAGAGAGAGAGAGAGAGAGCGGGCAATGGGCAGCAGTGTTGGTGCACAGGACAGGAGAAGGCAAGAGCAGGGGACATTTGCACAAGTCCGAGTGGTCCCCCCAGTCCCCTTCTCCGTCCTCCTCTTCAAGCCCAGGTAGAGCGCACGCACCGCCGACTCGATCGGCCGTGGCTGGATCAGCTCCACCTTGTTGGAGTCGCCCATGCCGCGGCTCCGGCAGAAGTCCGTGAAGCGTGAGCAGTCCACGCACAAAAAGGCGATCTCCTGGCTGGCGGCTTGTTCCTCCGGCGACCGAAGGCGGAAGGCCAGCCGCCGCGAGGTGTTGGCCACCGCCTCCGAGTAGGGGTTGCTGGAGATCCAGCAGAAGCACCGGCGTGAGCGTGAGCGGGGGGGGGGGGGGGGGGGGGCACACCTGTGCGAGGGCGAGCGGCATGCATGGGCGCATGTCGGTGCGGTGGGCAGGCGGCAAGGACAGGGCAGATGGGCGATCGGCTGCGCGCGTACCCGGGTGTCATCAACATCAGGAGAACCGTCCGACCGGAGGAGATGAGCCGCTTGAGGTCGTTATCCGAGCGCCAGAAGAGCCGATAGTCCGGGATGGCAGCCAGGTTCTGCTGGAAGCCGAAGAAGGACCGCAGCTTGGATTCGACCTTCTGAGGCCACGAGAGTGACTCCCAGTGCTGGCGGTCGATCATTTCGTCCGTGAGCATGGTGTCTGTCAAGGAACGGGGGGGGGGGGAGGGGGGGGCGCGGAGAGAGACGGAAGGTGGTGGTGGGGGGTGGGGGGGAGAGAGAGAAGGCGGGGAGGAGCGCTGGCCGCCTCCCCGCGTCTGCGGCCAACACACCACGCCCCGTGAAAGAGATGGGCGCGGCCACCCGCCCGGGTGCGTGGGCAGCTGGCCCGACGCGCTCCGTCGCTCGCATCACATGCGCCCACTGTCCGGTCACCAGTCGGCAGTCCGGGGAGGGGGAGGGGGAGACGCTTTGCCGGGTGCCGCTGGCCGCGCCTGGGGATGGTCGGGGCGGCCCCGGCTGCCCGGCGCACGCTCCCGGGGCCAGAGTCACCCGCCCGCTCCGCCCGCTCGTCCAGTAGAGCGCCCCTTTTCCCAGCTAGTATACAGGGGGCACATCCTGGCAACGACGGGGCCTTTTTGTGCGCCGGCCCCGGGCTCAGCTCCGGCCCTGATCGGGCTGGTGCAGATCTCCAAGCCCCCTCCCTGCTTGCCTTCCCCTCGGCCTCCCTTCCTCCTTCCCCTCCCCCGGTCCGGCATGATGGCCAAGCCCGCAGCCGCTCCCGGCGCCGAGAGCGCCGACTTCCCGGCCATCTACAACTTCCCCCCTTTTTTCACGTACGCCCTCTGTCCGTCTGCCCCCCGCGTCCCGGCGTGCCCCCCTCCTCCCCCCCCCACACACACCCACTCACTTTCGCACCGCCCCCCGCCTACGCCCACCCACCCACTCACCCGCCCTCCCGCCCTCCCGCCCCCGCGCAAGCAGCCTTCAACCCAACCAGGACACTCGCTCGCGGCAGCTGGACACCTGGACACAGCTGATTCTCAGTCACACGGCCCCGGCCTCCGGGACAGTGGGCAGCCTCAAGCAGCGCCTCGCCACAGCGGACCTATTTAATGCGCGTGACGTGCCCTTCGTCAACTCCAACATTGGAAGTGCGCTGCCGCCGTCTGCCCCCCACCTCGCTTCCCCCCACCTCCGTGCCAATCACTCACCTTTGTCTGGCATCCGTCCCCCTTTGCCCGCGGCTACAACTATTCTCGTGCTCCTGTCCTCTACCCCTCCCCCCCCCCCCTCCCCCACCCTTCCACACACACACACACACACATACATACACGTGCGCGCGCGCACCACCAAACACACTCACAGGAAAGATCTCCCCCGAGCTGGGGCGCGCCATCCTCGACCACATGCTCGAGCGGGGAAATGCCATCCCCTGCCCGTCGGCAACGATGGTTCCGGCACCGGCTGGGGCCAAGCAGCAGGCAGGCACACGCGCCACTTCCAGCCCCAGCAGCCCCGGCAATTCCGGCACCTTCTCCGGGACCTTCTACTCACACTTGCTGATCCTCCACCGGTCGGCCTTCGAGTGGGCGGATCTCATCGAGCGCTATGCCGCCGAGGTGGGCCTCCGCGACACGGTCCTCACCCTGGAGGAGTTCCTGCTGGGCCGCGAGACCGAGGACCAGCCCTTTCACGGGATGGACCGTACCTTCTTCAAGACGGTCGTCGCCCCGGAGCTGGGCCGCCGCAACCGGGTCATTCTCTTTGGCTCCGATGACGAGGAGGGCCTGAAGTTCGTGTGATTTTTGGCACACCGGCCAAAAATAATAGCTCCTCCACTCTGTCTTATCACAAGGGGGCATGTATTTCTGGGCGGGGGGGGGGGGTGATGTGGCTGCGCATTGCGGACGCCACGCTGTTTTGCGCGGAGCGCGGTGGACCGCCTCTTGGAGGACGGCTCTACTTGACTGGGGAGGGGGGACGTATTGGGACCGGGGTGCCGACCGTGCAGACGCTTTACCGGCCGGAGCGACGCATGAGGAGGTAGACATCCTCACCGAGGGCGAGGTTGTTCAGGTGGCGGGGAGCCACCTTCAGGCACATCAGCAGACCGCCGAAGGAAATGAAAAGGATGCTGCAGCGAGGGGGGGAGAGTGTGCAGACATGTGTCAGGATACAGGAGCCCACTCACAGGGAGAGAGAGAGAGGGGTGGGGGGGGAGACAAAGGAAAGGAGCCAGGGCTCCGGGGGCCGGGGGGGGGGGAGGAGGAACGTACATCCTCCGGTCGCCGTCCTCCGGGACCGAGCGGTACACGCGGCCGTGCATGACATATTCGAAGTTGTCGGCCAGGGAGGGAGCGCCGCGCTGGTCGAAGCCAACCGGGTCGGCCGAATCGAGGGAAAGCTGCACGCGCAGGGGCCAGGAAAAGCAACAGGGTCAGACGACGGCATGGCGGGCCGAGGCATGGCCGGGCGGGTGACACCGGGGCAAAGCCCCAGGGACAAGAGCAAAGGGGAAAGGCAAAAGACACCGTCGCACCGTCTTGGACAGGACCAGGTAGAACTTGTTGTCGGCCTCCTTGTTCAGGGGGAACAGGTCCGAGTGCACATCGAGGGTGATCTCACCGGCGGTGTTTTCGCCGTTGGCCACGATGCGGGTGACTGTGACCGGGGGAGGGGGG